TATTAAAAGGCAAATGGAGAAAACCCATAAAACAGCAAACGGCCACATAATGCAAAACTATTTAAAATTAAAACGTAACAGTATATATATTATAGCCCTACTGTATAATTACTAGCACAATTAAAATTATAGTTACCACACTTTTCTGGTAAATAAAACATAACCATTACTGTGACACATCGAAATTCCTGTATAATATTTAGTGTATATCAAAAGCAATGGAATAGCAATGTACAAATATTTCGTCCGCATAGTTTATAGAAATAGCCTCTTACACTATCACTAAGTCGATCCTGCTTTTATAACTTAATCGTCTTTCAAGTTGTTATTTCTTCTTAGAAAAGAAACCTTAACATGGCACCACGATATTTTTTAGCATAAAATAAATAAACATTATACCTTTAAGGACATCGTCGTTTTGTTTTAGGAGTCTGACTGAAAGTAAGACCTCATCAACATTTAGCTTAGGCAAGGCTAGTTGCCATTAAGTGTTTATCTGTAAATACTATTTTTTTAGTTCATCAAGTTCATAAGCCGGACCTAATCAAGATTACTTACATTATAATATCATTTTGTAGAGCCATAAATACATTTATCAAAATGAATCATTTATAATCTCTTCATGTAAATGTGCGATTATTTTAATTTCTTTCTTTTTAATGTTTCATTCGATATAATTTTACACGTGGTAATTTCGTATGCAAATTTGAAATATATAGTTTTCTTATATTTATCACAGAAGGATCGAAGAAACAAAGTAGACTGTAAAGATCTTAACTTGCACAAAATGTTTCTGAAACATGCTTAACACAATGCTGATAAGTAAATGTGGACACTAGTAGTCCAGAAATCACAGACTATTACGTATTGGTAATAGTAGTGGCTTGCTTTCTTTGCTTTCTTCTGAACAGCGCCGCCACAAGTGTTGAATTGAATGATATGAATATGAACACTCCTTGGAAACTATTCAATATCACGAAGATATACCAAAGGAATGGTTCGTCGACGAATGAAGCAAGAAACCCAAAGATCCAAGTCAATCCCATAATGCACGAAATCTGAGATGTAAAAAAGAAAAATAGAAATTTATTTTATATAGTCTTATACGTAGTCTTGTAAATAAATTAATAAAGAAATTGTGTAACACAGTGCATCTGGCGGGATTAAAACATGCGACCTCTCGCTGTCAAGGCGAGCGTCATAGCCATTAGATTCAAATACCACCAGATACACTCCATTATACAAAAATTACGGCTAGAAAAGTTGCGTATAATATAAATCAAGATATCCGTTAACACTGTTAAATTATATAATAATTATAAAATAAAGTTAAATACAGAGTTAGAATAAAGGACATGATAATATATCGTGTAGCATTGCTCTCTACGAACGTGGTCTTGTAAATAAATGAATAAAGAAATTGTGTAATAAAATGCCTCTGGTGGGACTCGAACCTGCGACNNNNTGCCTCTGGTGGGACTCGAACCTGCGAGCTCTCGCTGTCAAGGCGAGCGTCATAACCATTAGAATCAAGATAATTTCCAATGTTTTTTATCTATTTTGTAATTCATATTATGTTCTCTGTCTTTTCACATTGATTTGTATTCCTAAATTCATATATTTTCTATAACATTTTTTATTTTTTTGATAGCCCATTATTATCAATTACATTTATACACAACTATTATTTTTTATGAAGGTTTAAATTACGTCTTCAATTATATCTCTTGTTTTTGGACAAACCTGTTATTTAGCATAAATGCGTGACTAAAAATAATGCATTTTAATTCCAATTATTTACCTTTGCAAATATGATAATATTAGTAAAAATATCTTTCTTTGTAGAAGCTCCTCGCATCTTTTTAGAGCTCATTTTAGTTTGGTAAATCCCGCACACTATAACGACAAACATAATGCTGTTTAAAGCAAGGATCGTTGCCATGGGAATACCTAAGAACAAGAAGGCAGCAAACTCATCGCGTATCCAACAAACTGTTTTGTCACCGTATGAGAATTTGATAGGTGCGTATTCCCAAATATGAAGAGTCATAGCGGCAGCGACAACCAAAACGGGAAGTCCCCAACAACAAAAGAAAGGCATTGTAATAGATTGTTTTCCACTTCGATGCTCTACAGCTGATTTTAAAGAGCGGAACGATTTGAACAATACTATTGACATTGTAAACATCCACATAAACGCCACCAACCACATATAATGCAAAAGTGCAGCCAGAGCAACACACCCCAGCTCGGATTCAACTAAACTTTTTGCAAACAACGTCCCAAGCTGTGCCAGAAACAATGCCGCCGCAATATTCATTACAATTTTACCAGAAATTGTCCGGAAGTCTTTTTTAATGCAACGTATAATAAATGTCAAAAACAGACCAACGAGTGAACAAGAGACGCCAACGACGTTCAAAATCTGCAAGGTTTTATCATAAACGAAAATGGTTGATACATATGTATTCGTTCCGTTTTGAGAAAAGAAAGAGCAGACAAAAACAAAATCGTTAGAAAATACTGCAATCTCATCAATTGTGAACACATGACCGTTCGGCTTGTACATCCAACTTGTATTTTCCATGACTTCAAAATTGTTGATGTTCAGAGCAGTGAGAGGACATGTTGGGTCGGGTGACCGATCAAGACAATTTGATATACTGACTGTAATCGCCTTTGCTGGTTCGCTTTCAATATTAAACGTCATTTCCACTCGATAATCACTGTCTGATATTGTGAAAGTTTTATTTTCGTCTGCTACTGTTACTGATTCATTCCCTTTCTTAATATTTAACATATCCACATTTAACTCCAGATCATTACAAATTTCGTAATCATTGTGTACCGTCATGTTGTTTTTTGAATTTATACACGCCTGCAGTATTGTAATATTTTCAAACAAATGTCTGTTCTCGCTATTGATCTGTTGATAGATTTTTTGGGTAATATTTTCGAACACGTCGCAGTGTGACGTATTGAAATAAATTGTAAACATTGGAGGTTTACCAGACGTCTGAAATTTGAATGTTACATTTTGAAATTGTATCCATGACGTCATCCTAGTCAAGAAATCATTGTTGGTAAAGTTATTAAGAAAGTTGTATCGTAATTGAACTCTGCTATCATGTTTACATAAGCATAGGAGTTCACTTGAGTATTCAGCATCTGCTTTAAATTGTGCTGACACAGGCATTTGAATATCAAATGGTTTTATGCAGCCATGTTCAGTAAGGATCTCATCATTTTTGCAAACAGTTGAAATGCATTCACCAGATTCTCCAATAAAAGGATTGAAGACTCGACCAGAACCACAATCTACCCCGACAGTGCTGGCCTTTGAATGTGGTGATTCGACACTTAAGGTTGAACCTGAGGAAAAATCCAGCAAAATTGTGATGGGTATGATCTTATTATTTTTTTCCTTTTTTCTGTGGACAACACTAGGTTTAAATGTCCGGCAAGTATTTTGTTGTAGGCTTATACCATGACAACGTGCGCAATGTGTGTTGGCGAATTTCCTACCAAATAATTTGTCGTACACTGTTGCAATGTAGGTCTTGCATTTATATGCTACATCAATATCAGGAAAGTCAAGTGGGCAATATTTTATTCCGGGTTGAGGGTCAAGAGGGCAATATCTCTTACTATAGTTTTGAGTTGGTTCATATTCATAATACCGACTAGTTGCGCGATCAATCTCAGAAATAATGTTTTTAAAATTTATGGGAGTTGTTGGAGCCATGGTTGTTGTCTGTAGTGGTCCTTCGCCTATCCATATAGGCCTAGCCTGTTTAGGGGCGAGATTAGGGTAAATACACTTGACAGTAACTTTCCATGCTACAACATCCGACATCGGTACGCCATTACACAGAGCACAATATACGTTTAAATAACCTAAATTAGAAGCGTCACTGACTGGAATACCAAGAAGAAAATCGTCTTGATTTGGTTGTTCACAGTTCAAGCGAACCTGTTCATTAAATGTTCCTGGACTACATTTGGAAATCAAATAGTACGAGCTATCTTTACAGACTGTACGGTCCCATAATGCCATAGAAGGGACCCGAGCTTCTTTGTCGTTGCAATTTGTCCAGTAATCGTAACAGCAATCTCCATAAATCTCACAATACGAGTCACAGTTGCACAATGACTGCTCGCTCGAAGGTGTCCCACATCTACCTTGGCAAGTCTGATGCCGCCGTGAACAAACCTCAATCGTATCTTTAGATATGTCTACCGTTGTATGCACGTTAATCAATTCTGTAAAACAAAATCATTGAATTAACAGCAAAATAGTAATGAATATTTAACTGTGAACAGTAATTTGTAATTTAAATGTTTCAATATAATTTTGGGGCCATGCAAGACGGACCCCAGAACCTCACTGCTGATCTGTTCATGTCGCTGTTGTTACCAGAATTTTAGATACGTTCATCGTCGCCAGTTTTGTACATACAAACTAGAGGTGATTTCATGACCCCTTATTTTTCCCCATAAACCTACAAAAGTAAACAAGGTTTTCAGAAAGGACTGTACATTAAAGCCATTACAACTAATAGGATACGTCGCATGGATAACGCGATCGGTTTTTCTAATAAGGAACCAAATATCGTGAGTTCGAATCGCGCGTCTTGGTATTCATTTTTTTTTTTCAAAAAGATATTTTAACTTAGTTTTTTTTTCTACTGTATTTTGTATATTAATAAGGTAATAAGGTATTCTATCTGTTATATTAGTATTAAATAATTGCGATTATGAACCCTTGTTTATTACCTAATAAAATAACTTACTCCACTGTGTGTTGTATTTAGGCCTAAGCATGGTCGACATTTCCTTCATAATTTAAAAATGTTTTATAGTGTCAACAACGAATAAACCTCGTGTGAAGATGCATACACGAAGCGTTAAACATCTTAAGACAGATTAACGCGTGGACCATCGGGCGGTCTCTCTTGTGTTATTATTTCAGAACCAGCAAGGGGATAATAATGCACAGAAGAGGGTGTATCTTATAGACATCTAACAGACTATTTACGTGCAATATTAAATGCGTTCTCATTGTTCTAACTTTAAATCATGACATGGCAGCAAATAATTTCAAAGCACTACTGACGTCCTTTGGTTTTTTGCAGCATGTAAATGAGGCCACACATTGTGGTGGGCACTGCCTTGATCTTTTGATCACACGAGATCTTTCATTGCTGTCTGAATTACACATCCACCCCGGTCTTTCAGATCATTTTGCAATTATTTGCAAGCTTAATTAAAAAAAAAACCTCCACTACAAAAAATTCTCGTTAAGAGACGTGATCTCAGACGAGTTGATATGAATGCACTTAAAAATGATATTCAGGCTCATCTTTTGAATTCCCTCTCCATTGACAGGGATATAGATGCTTGTGCTAAGCATTTTACTGATTTGAGACTAGTTCTTGATCGGTATGCATCAGTAAAGGCAAAAACCATCAAACTTAAGTCATCTAAGCCCTGGTTTACGGATGAGATACGCACTGCACTGAAAATCCGCCGTCAACTTGAAAGGAAATGGATGAAATTAAGGGCTCATCTTGACAGGCAAAAATACTGCAATCAAAGATGTTTGGTTACTAATCTTATTTAACAGGCAAAAACGGAGTACTATTCTGCTCTTGTTAAAGACTGTTCAGGTGATCAGAAGAAACTGTTCAAGGTTTTAAATGACCTTCTACACCGCTCAAAGTCATCAGTTCTTCCATTTACTGTTTCTGACAAAGATCTTGCTGAGAGGTTTTCTGTCTTTTTTGTTAACAAAGTTCGGAAAATTCGGGATACTTTGATCTAGGATAACTCTCAGGACAATACTGATTCTTCCTTAATTTCTGGTTCTTGTCATACGCCCACACTG